AAAGGGTGAGTTGCTTCTTGTTAAGGGGTTTGGCCTTTTTTTGTTTTTTTCTTGGCATAGGGGTGACGGTTAGTTAGGATTTAATTTTTTTTTGGGGGTTTTCATTCCCAGAGACAATTTTAAGCTCTGTGTAACTCCCTGGGGGAAGCTTGCCCATTTTAACTCAACGAGGTGGGTTCATCCCCCGTTGCGCGGAGTGAGGTTTTTTGCCCCGGGGGGGGGGGGGGGGTACCGAGAATCATGCATGGGCCAAGGTCAATGCAAAACGACAACGACGCCGAACCAACAGAGGAAACGCTCGACGCTCTCTCTTCCTCTTACCGCTTGCACGGCCTTGTACTTGGCGAAGAGATCCTTGAGCCTTGTCTTGCTGCTCTCCTTCTCTTGCTCCGCGGCTTCGAGCCCGGCTACAGCCGCGTCGCGCTCCTGCCAGACAGGACCACCGGACGAACGCACGGAGGAGAGTAAGGAAGCACGCCCGTCAAGGATAGCAGAACCAGCAACCAAACCCGGCATGACAACAACAAGAACAGGAGCGTCGAAATAAATTCACCACGTCGGGTGCGTGTACTTCGTTCTTTTTCGCTTTTGCCCCCAGCAGCACCCGGCGTTGTCTACTGGAAGAACCAAAAAGGGGCCCCATGTGTGTTATGTTATGGCATGGTATTTGGAGGTAGACATGTGGTCGTGCTTGACCACGATAATTTGGCGTTATCAGATGTTGCATCACGCGAGGTCGAGCAAGATTCGAAAAATTATGCCGAGGCATGCGCCCGTCTGTTCCGTATGTGTGCTGTGTCATATTTGGTAGCATCTACCACGCCAACCGGCTGACCAATGAAAAGACGTCAGTCTCAGTACGGTGGAAAACACCGTGTGTGTTTGGGTGGGTGCGGTCGTGTGCGCTTGGATCTGTGTGCGTTTGGCTGGGTTCACGGTGGAAGACTACAAGGAGAGCACGACCAAAAGGAGAGAACAGGGGAAAGTAAGACACAACAACTTTCACGTGTGGTCGGACAAGAGGTCCACACAGCTCCAAGGTGATAGATTCTAAGCTACGAGGAGGTCAAATCTTCTTGCAGCTCCAAACACTTCCGCCAAACCCCCAAATAAACACCCAGACAAGACAGATTCGTCCCGAACAAAAAGTCCGTCTATACAGCAGTACCACCAAAATCAGCAGCGCAGCCGTGGCCGGGAAAGGGGGGGGGGCGTACTCTCATGTTTTGCATGCCTTAGCGGTTAGACCATTGACTACGCGTCCTCGAGAGGACGGAGCATTGTTCCCACAGGACCGATCACCGGTGGCCAATCGTTCCTTCCTACTTTGCCAAAGGTGACTCAAAAATGTCTTCCCTAGTCCATCTATCCTAACAATATCCCGTCCCGCCTTTTCAAACCACTTCCTACTCCCCAGTACAGCTACCGTCCTCTCCTCTCTATTCCATGCCTCAAATATCTCCCTGTACCTCTCTTGCATTTTTCCCAGCACAGTCATGTACACTTCCCTCTCTGTATTGTACAGCCGACATTCCGCGACTACATGAACACGGTCTTCGCATTCGAAGCCGCAATCACATTTGAGCGTGTCGTCTTCGTCGTCTACCGTCCTGTGTCTTCGTCGACGTTCTCGAAGGCCTATGTCCCCGGTCCTGAATTTGACCATAAGCTTTGTCCCTGCATTCATTGGTCCATGTAGGTAGTCCTTGAACCCTATTTGTTCTTTCAACATTCCGTACACTTCTAGACCCTCCTTATCCTTGGTTTCTTTCCTTAGATTCTGTTTTTCTCTCTCGGCACAAGCAACAGATATCTTCTTCTTGAACCCCTGTATACCCTCCGTTGCCAGCCTTTCATCTTCGTCGATGTCTAACCCCTTCCATACGTCCTCTACAACCTTGACCCATTCCGTGGGTTGTCTACCTCTCTTTTTGTTTGCCCACTTCGCCTCCCATACTATTCTCGGCAACCTCTCCTCTCCCATCCCGCACATGCGATACTGCCATGTCAGCTTCCTTGCGTCTCTTCCCGACCGTAGGGATTGGATTCCGAATTGTGCCCTGACGGCTGCATTACTTGTGCGCTTGGAGCATCCTAGGATGATTTTCGCTGCTTTCATCTGCGCCGCCTCGAGTTCTTTCACTACCTTCTTACTTCCTTCCCATACTTCTCCGGCGTACCCTAGCGGCGGTACGATTACGCTCTTCAAAACCGTCAATTTGATGCGTGTATCGAGGTGCCGGTTTGCGAGTTTTGGGTGCAGCTTCCCTGCTCGTGCTTTGCCCTTTTCCGCTACCGTGGACATGTGTGCATTCCACGAGCAGTCTTTTGCGATCTCTACCCCGAGGTATGTGTACTGGTCCACTACTGCAATCTCCTCGATCCCCCACTTCCATCTATGTTCTACTGGTTCCTCCCTGACCTCGTTGCATACCATGACGGCACTCTTCTTAACGTTGGCAGACAATCTCCATTTATCAGTAAACTTCTTCGCAGCGTCAATTTGTAGTTGCAGTCCCTCAGGGGTGTCCGCGACATACCAACAAAATCATCCGCAAACAGCATTCCTGACACCGAAGTTTCCGTGTCCCCTACTTTTACTCCCTTCCGGACTGCCTCTACGACTTCCAACAGATCGTTGATGAACACCTGGAACAATGTTGGGGACAGCGTGCAACCTTGTGGGACCCCCTGCTCAATGTCGAAGAACCTAGACAGTTCTCCGTCTAGCATGACCGCGCTTTTCGAGGGGGCCACTCAATCGGAACAACCCTGCCCCCGCCTGTGATCGATCGGTCCTTTGGGAACAATGGTTCGTCCTCTCGAGGTCGCGCGGTCAATGGTCCAACAGCTTGAAAAACATGAGCACACACATACACCCCCACACCGCCTTTAGACTGACGTCTTTTCATCGGTCAGCCGCTTAGCGCGGTCGATGCTAACAGAAAAAACACAAACACACACCCACCCACCCCACCTTGTTGGCGGCGTCCACCTGACCCTGAAGGGCCCCCATGATCTCCTCGCTCTCCCTCGCAGTGCCTTCCTTGAGGCTCTCCAGCTCCCTGGCCCCCGCCTTCAGGCTCTCCAGCTCCACCTCGAGCTCCCTCCGACCGGAGCGCTCAGCAGCTAGGTCGGCCTCTAGGGCGGGTGCTCGCGCAGCGCTAACAGCCGCCGCCGATCGTGATTACGGCCCGCGGCGAAGGGGCCCGGACGGTACCCGGACGGTACCGGGGGGGGGGGGGCTGTTAGTGATTCACGGGGCGCGTACGAGGGTGACCGCGACAGACAAGCAATAGGGTCGGGGACAAGTGCCCAGGAATTTTGCGGCGGTTGCCGCGATTTCCTTCTTCTGCTGTGTTTCTACTCTGCGGTGGCCCCGAGCAAGTCGGCGACTAAGCAACAGGCTGACAGCGCGGTGTTCTTCTGCGCAGGCAGGGCGAGCGAGCGAGCAAAGCGAGCGGGGCTTTATTCAATCTTCGCGCAGCGGGGACTCGGATGACCCGCTGTACGCAAAAAAAAAGAAGAGGCCAATTCGTTCTACTGGTACAAATGTAGCAAAGGACTAAAAATCAGAGCAACTTATACACGTTGGCCCAAACAAACAAACCAGAACTCCCCCACGGCAGACCTAGCGCGTGGAACGTTCCACGGAACGAAGAACAACCGTAAAAAAGGCAATCACAACAGCAGTCAAGACCATCCGGTAAAAAAGAGCGAGAATCGTACAAGAATAGTATTCATATCACCTCTCCTCCAGTCGCTGGCACCGCTCCTCCAGCCCCTGCCTGAGGACCATCGACTCCTCGGAGGTGCTTCGCAACAGGTCCTCTGCCTCCCGAAGGCGAGAGGCGGCGTTTGCCAGCTGCGAGATGCGCGCGCGGGAGAAGGCACAGCACACACGGAACAACGGAGGGGGGCTGTAGCGACGTAAACGCATGCCACCGCAGTCGTTAGAACTTGACCTCGCATTTGCAGGGACGGAGCGACGTGCCTGCCCAGGCTACATTTCACAAGGACAGAACAGAACCTGGTCATCGTCCGTCATCCTCGCGGAACAAGTGGGGGGGGGAGGCAAGTGTTGGTCGAGAGGTTCGTGAGCGAGATGGAGTTAGCGACGCTTGCTGCTTGCTCCCTTGCCACAGGACGATGAGCCTGTTGCTGCTGGAATACAGAAGAACGCCCGCGGCACACACGCGTGCCGCGAGAAAACAGCTGTGGTATCACATACACGGCGTCGCGGAGCACCGCAAACACACGACGCACAGTATCAACGACGACGACGACGACTAAAGGTGGCATGCACCACAACACAAAACAACACAGGCCAACAACCAGCCAGAAAGAAACAAAAGAAAGACAGACAGACAGGCAGACGGACAAAACAAGACAAGCAGTCGGCCAGCCAGTCGGCCAGCCAGTCGGCCAGCCAGTCGGCCAGCCAGTCGGCCAGCCAGCCAGCCTGCCAGCCACAAACACACACACACACAACCGCACTGAGACTGACGTCTTTTCATTGGTCAGCCGGTTAGCGCGGTCCATGCTAACAATAAGTACACACACACCAGCACACCTCCTCGCGAAGCCCCGAGGCCTCTTGCTCCAGCGTGGCCAAAGCCTCCGCAGAGGCCGCCGCCCTCCCCTCCGCATCTCGCAGAGCCGCCGCCGCCACCTGTTCCTCGCCCCCAGCAGCCTCCTCGAGGGAGCGGCTGCGCGCCTCGGCATCCGCCAGATTTTTCTCGGAAGTTTCCAGGAGAGCCGACGTGAAGGCGACCTTCTCGGTGGCGGCATCTCTTTCCTGAGATTCGATTTGATTTTTTGTTCGGTTTCGTATGCGCATCCCGGGAGGAGTTGAAAGGGGGCGAGATGGCGTGGGTGGGAATGGGACGGAGGAGGCGGGGGCGGCTTAGGGTTTCGAAGCAGCCACCAAACGAAAAGTGGGTTGCCCTTCAAAGGCACCCCAAAACGGCACCAAAAACGACGACGACGACAACAACAACAACAACGATCATAACACGGGCCGCCATCACATCGTTGGTAACCCGGAAAAACACTCCATCCACGCGGAGCGCCCCTTTCGCCTTTCCTCACCTCCTTGAGAGACCGAAGCCTTGCCGCCGCCTTCTTGAGCTTGTCCTTCTGACCGGCCACCTGCTCCTCGAGCGCGGCACGCTCCCCCTTCACGGATTTTCCGCCGAGACGCACAAAAAAATAAAAAAACACCAATTGTCACCCACCACGTCATGGACAAAATAACGTAGTAAAACAACAGGCAACAAACTTCGATTGTCATCCACGACGTCATCGACAAAATAACGTAAAAACAACAAGCAAGCAATAAACACCGATATTCAACCAAATGCATCATCATCATCATCATCATCATCAAAGTAGCGTACGAAGACGCACCAGCGATGCCAGCAGTGACTGGCATCAGCCGCAGGTATATTTCAACGGAGTGGCAGCACGGCAAAGCTGTCAATGGCATTCCTTGCCACAAGACCGCAATGCGGCGATGGTTTGGCACAACCGTAGCCGGCCCACTCGTCGCAAAAAGGGAACGCTGACCTGACTGAATTGACCTACTACGTGCGGTTGAGGCTTCATGACGGGTCCTGCCCAACAGCAGAGCCGACCACGCTTCAGCACTAGAGACAAGACGCCGATTTAGCGCACAGTGACAATCGCTGGCTACAGCAGGATGTTTATCCGCAACCCCGTGAGCAATCTCTAACGCCTTGCCTCGACATTGAACCCGTTCTTCTGAGGGTGTGTCGGCGCCCTCTCAAGACCAAAACATCCAACCTCACGACACCGGACCATTTTCGAAAGAGAGATGACCCACCCCCCCTCTGCTCTCTCTCTCTCTCTCTCTCTCTCTCTCTCTCTCTCTTTCTCCATCTGCCTCTCTCTCTCAGTCTGTGTATCTGTCTGTCTGTCTGTCTGTCTGTCTGTCTGTCTGTCTTGTCTGTCTGTCTGCCTGGCACTCTCTCTCTCTCTCGGCACAGACTGAGCTGGCATACCTCCGCCTTAGCCACCGCCTCGGCGGCTCCTTCTTGAGACGCTGTCGACCCCGATATCGCCGCGGTCAGCTCTTGCCGCAAGCGGCTGGTCTCCTCGGCGGCCTCCTCCAGTCGACCTTCCAGCGAAGCCTGGAACATTCCCACCCACCGCACGTGCACAAACACGAAGAAGAGAGAATCAAACACGACAATATAAGAAACGCGGCACTGTTGGAGAAGCGCAGGGCGAGATCGGTCGGCGACGGAACTGTAGCGGTGGTGTTGATGCGATAAAATTCGTTTAGGACGGCAATAAGAAACGCGGTACTGCTGGAGTAGCGCAGGGCGAGATCGGTCGGCGAGGGAAATGCTAGCGGTGGCGTTGATGCGATAAACCTCATCTTGCACGACACACCTTTGCTAGCCCTCGCCCCCATCGCCAACCCTGCCTGTGGCCCGTGCCTCAAAGAGTAACGCCAACGAGCAACAACAGCACACAACGAACGAGCGGACGAGCTGCTTCCATGCCCTACCCATTCTTACCCCCATCCTGCCCTACCCAAAAAAGGACCTTCCATGAAGCCGGCCCGTCGTCTACCAGCGGCGCGTGCGGTGCCAAAACATCCCATCACAAAAACACTCGCCACCACTCGAGCAAGCCGATCCCCCGGCCCCGTCCACCGCACCCTCTCGTGCCGAAAAACAAGCGAGAGGCTCCGCCATTTCAGCGGAGCACCAGTTCATTCCCCCCTGCCCTATGTACCAACTCGCGGCTGCCGACACACATCATGCCGGCGACCGGGTAACGTCGTCGTCGACAACGTCTTCGCAACCCATGTGTGCCGCGCTGGCAAACCGCGCTGGCAAACACACGGCATCCAAAACACACACAAACCTTCTCCTGCCGCAACGCCCCCAAGGCCTCTTCCGCCTCCGCCGCCGCCGCACTCGCCGCCGCCGCCGCCTTCTCCCTCTGTTCCACAAGGTCCCGCTCCCGCTCTTGCCCCACCGCTTCCGCCGCTGCCGTTGCTTCCGCTGCCGCGGCCGCCGCCGCCGTCGCCGCCTTCTCCCTCTGTCCCTCGAGATCCCGCTCCCGCTCTTGCCCTGCTGCTTCCGCCGCCGCCGCTGCCGCCGCTGCCGCCGCCGCCTTCTCCCTCTGTTCCTCGAGGTCCCGCTCCCGCTCTTGCCCCGCCGCTGCCGCTTCTTCCGCCGCCTGCTCCGCCGCCTCGGCGCGCTCGGTCAGCTGCCGGGCCTGCCGGAGCCCGTCCTCCCTCTCCCTCTCGAGACACTCCTGCGACGCCGACAACGCTTCTCTCGCCGCCGCAACCTCGGCGGTGAGCTCGAGCACGCGGGAGTTCAACGCGGCCTGGGTGGCATTTGGACGGGGAGTGGGGGGGGGCAGCGCGGCGATGTGCCGGTGCGCAACGTCGTCGTGTGGAGGAGTGCGGTGGTGTCGGCTGGAGGACTGACTTCGCCTGTCCTGCAAGACTGCTGTAGTAGCCTAGTCTGCCAAGCCTCTGCCACCAACTATAGGTATAATATGTATATTCAGCTCCTGGGCGGAGAAACGCTGACAGACTGACGCCAAAGCCCCCCCCGGCGCAAACAAGACTACAAGCGGGTGCAAACCACGCCGCATGCCTGCAGGAGTACTGCTACTACTGCTGCCGAAATCGATCCACAGCTGCACCGACTCACGTTTCTTGGGTCGACGGTACTCTCGACCACCAACCCATAAAGGGGTGCGTCTATCCTTAACGTAACAACAACAACAACAACAACAACAACAACACCACCCTTCCCACCTGCTCTTCGCGCAGACCAGCAACCACGCCTTCCTTCTCTCTAGCGGGTTCCTTGGCGGCCTCCTTCACCTCACGCAAACGCTTCTTTAGCAACTCCAGCTGAGCCACGCTCTCCTCTTCCCCGTCGTCCGTCGCCGCCTCGGATGTGACCCCCGGCGTCGTTGTCTCGACGACAGTGGTGGTGGTGGCATCCCCGTCTTCGCCTTGACCCCGATCGCCCCCCGAGGCTTCTTCTTCAGGAGCAGCGGCGGAGGCGGCGGCGGCATCCCCTGCCGTGGATGATGAAACAGCGTCCACGTCCCTGACCCTCGCCTCTAGGGCAGCGATCTATTAACGCAGGGGAGGGGGGGGTAGAGGAGTGCCAGCAGCACACCCGCGTACAAACACGCAATCATGTTGAGGCTGTTACCCACAGGGGAGGTATCATCGCTGTATGTTGCTCGCGAAATCGTGGAAATGCAGGAAACTTCCGCTGACGCTTAGGATTCGTTGCTATCTATCTTAGATTATCTTCTTTAAAAAAAGAGATGGATTTCGTTGTGTCATGTTCTGAAAAAAAAAAAAAAAACAGGCACGAAGACATACTCAAGGAGAGGAGAGCGAGATTAAGGAAACGTCCCAAAAAGGGTTAGTCACATCACTTTGGGCTGATGAGACTGTCCGGGAGGGAGTGTGGAATCTCCGAAGGCGAGGAAGAAAAGACACCCGGTCATTTCACGAGTGCACGCAAGACCAGCCAGCAGCCGCAGCGCACCAGCCATTTCATGTGCTGTGTAGGGCTTGCAACTTTCGGGTAGGGTATCACCGAACTCACAATCGTTTACGCGTACATACCCGGGAAAAATACCCCCGGCACGCTTATTGCGTGTGTGTTTTGTTCCATCCATTCTGGCGCCAGTACAAGCCTTTCGGCACCGTATCAGCCATTGTACCGCAGAAACAAAATATAAAGCGTCTTGCCTCACCTTTTCGGAAGCCACCGCGGCTCCGATCTCCAGCTCCTCGCACCTCGCTCGCAAGGCCGCTATTTCTTCCTCTTCCTGCCCAGCGTCCGCCGCCGCCGCCGCTTCCTCCGGCCGCTCGCCGTCTCCCACCGAAGGCGCTTCCGTTTCCGGCGGCGGGGGCTCCTCCTCCTCCTCCTCTAGCTTCCGTGCCATTGCCGCCGCCGCTTCTTCCTCGGCGGTGGCGAGGCGAGCGCTCAGAGCGTCGCGCTCGGCCCGTAGCGCCGCCGAGCTGGTCGCGAGGTCTTGCGACGCGGCGTCGGCGCGCGCTTCCGCTTCCTCCTGTTCGTTTTGTCACCACCACGAGCGCCGCAAAAAGAAAACATATTACAAAATACACTTCAAAAAGACCCGTCAGTATTTTAAGTGTCTTTGCATAAAAAGAAAGTAGTATTTCCAACATTTAGCATTATTTTATATTTGAAGACTGGGATTAAAATTAGTTTGACGTGTAAAACGTCAGACTACAACGTGGTGGTCGCGGAGGAGCCAGCACCCGCAGCACAAATGGAAGTCCTA